GGGGTTGCATTTTCTTGGACTCCTCATCACCCAACTATTGTGAGTTGATAAATTTTCTCAAATTTTTTAAGTTTGATTACAATTCTTAATTTGATTCCCATTTCAGATTTGTATTTTGTTCCTAGATCTATTATCCAAAGCATGAAGATATAAATGAGAATATAACTGGTATGAAGTTAGTGGTTTTGTCAAAGTTCATTGTGATTAGAGAGTCTAGTGGTGATTGTAGTAGAGGGAATACCACATGATGGCTTGAAAATATCTATACTATAGATATCCAAGCGTCAAGCTATATAGTATGAATAATAACGTTCATTTAGCGTAGTAGAGATGAGAATCTTAAGATGGATGTATAGAACAAAATCATCTTAGAAATGACTAAAAAATATTGTGAACATATTTATTAAGGAACAAAAGGAAGAAATATTTTTTAGATAAGTCGAGCATTTTAATAGAGATAAGGCCATGTTTTGCCAACCCTAAATAGCTAGGTTTAAGATTAATAATGATGATGATTATGAGCATGCATAATGAGCTAAAAGAATCAATACTAATAATGATGATGCATATGTGAAAGCTATGGCTGGCAATCCTTTAAAAAGAATATCTATATTAGAACTACATACAGTGCAACCTTAAAAAAGAAGGAACAACCAAGAAGGATTTCAAAATTAAATATTTTGAAAAAAGACTTATAAAAATTATTATCACTCTAGCGCTAGATCGTTCTCATGTTCTTCTATATCATGAATCTTTAAAGTTTATATGAATTTTCTTTTATGAATTCTTCTACATCTTTTGCTCCTATTAACTTTAGCAGCTGGAAACAAAAGTCAGTACTGCATGACTGATTCTATTAATATAACTTATAATCATTTATTTCTATTTGTTCATTTTCCTTTACTTTGGAATTATTCTTGACTAGTTCTTGATTGTGAATAAGAAATTTCTCAGACAGTAAGGCCTCGTTTGAGAGGGCGTTTTTATGTCGTTTCCGGTTCTAATAGGTAAAAACAGTTGCTGGTAAACTGTTTGATAATAGGACTTCTGCAAAATACGTTTTTTTTTAAACTCTGTATTTCTTCCTATCTCAAAAGGCGGAACATTTTCGCTTATCCCGTTGTAGTCCTCTGTTTACACACGCAAAAGTCTATTTTACCCTCATTACGTTCGCACGTCCCGAGCGAGGTGCCTCATTCAGCTCCATTTCTGCTTCTCGATTTCCATTTCCCTCCACCATTTCGACTGTTACTTTCTCCTCCACCTTCAACCCCATCAATGGCTCCAGCCATCCACGCGACCCTCACTCCACCTGCCCACGTCAAGTACCTAGCCCGCTAGCACTCACGATCACACGCGCCGACCATCCCGATCGTTTCCAACCCCTAGCTGGCCTTTCACTCCCGGTCATCTCCCTCTCCGCGAACTTATC